TCTACAAGTACTGACAATATACATAATACGCTCAGAAAAGAATGTCGCTGTTGTCGGAAGAAAACCTCATATCTCATAATGGTAATTTTACAGGAGAAGGAAAAAACATACTTTACTTTTACTGTAAGTCAATGGAACCAGACTTTTTTCCAAGTAATTTTGGGTCATTTCTGTTGGTCCATTCATCATGAAATGTTGAAACAATGTAACGGACAACAGTCATTTCTAAATTATGTCAAAACCTGAGAACGACAAAAAAGAAGATACAAGGTTTTGCTCGGACAGCAGTGATATTTTATTGTATTGTGAGATAACTTATCACGATAACGATATATATTGGTATACTGCCCAGCTCTGTGTTTACTTGCTGAAATGAACATACTGGAAAAAATATATGAAACACAAAATGGCATGTTTTCTATTTTGATGTTTTATTTTTATGTCAACATGTTAAGCTCAGCAAAAAAATAGAAACTCCACACTAAACCTTGCAGAAAAATGGCACATTTAAGTTTATTCCCCGCAGAGGACGTGTAAACTTATTTTCAATTAGAAAATCAACAAAAAGTGTAATTTGATCAGGGCTATTCAAACCTTTGCACACAACTGTAAAACAATGGACAAGCATGTTGCACAGCTATAAACAGCTGTAGCAGCCTAAGGTTCTCCATGGGCTAATCTATTACAGTTGAGTTGGGGAGAAACTGTAAATTTGACTTTTCATCGAAACACTACTGTGCACCCACTAAAATGTTGGGATGTGCTGTCTCCGGCTAAGACCTCCAAAGCCTCCGTGCTGGGATTTGGGATGTGTCTGTGAACTTGCAGTGGTGATTTTATAGTTTATTACTTTGTTTTCCCTGAACCACACAGTTAAAGAGGAACCGAGCCATTTTGGCAGGCAGCGGCCGCTTGCTGGGCGGCGCGTCGTTGTAAATTTAACCTGTCATCTGTCATTACAGCATCGTGGCAGCACATCAGTAATGGATTCCTACAGTTTAAACTCTGAGACCAGTGGTGCTCCAATGTGATCAGATAAAAACAGCAAAATCAACAATCAAACATAAAATAAAACTCATGCCTTTTGTTGCCGGAGCCGGCCCTTCTAGCTGCGAACATGGCTTCCGTTGTGCTCTGTTCAAGAGGCAACTTCCTTTCCAAACAGGCAGCATTAGGTGAACAAGATCCCGCATATCTCCAGAGGTTTCTCATCTCCTGCAGCCCTAAATGAAATCCGATCCGCCTTTATGAGGGACGTTTCTGCTGAAAGACGACGGCGTGGCTCATTCGCAAGATGCAAGATGATCGCAGACAGAAAAAAGGCGGCCCTTTCAAAAAAACGACAAGCGCATTTGTCTATTGTCAATATTTTGACAGATTTCTCGTCAAAGTGTAATTATTTGTCGAGCGCTCTGCCAAGGATTTAATTGATACATGCGTAATTACATGCTTTGTCACAGGGAGGTGTGTGAACAAAGCGTCTGCGGGTTTATTAATGGAGCGGCGAGACGGCTCTTTCATCAGCAGATCCTGTGATTGCTTCACAACCTCCTGTAATCCAGTCCCGTAAGAAGATACAGCTGCATCCCTGAGCGGACATCTTTCACAAATCAATTCATTACAGCAAAAGCCTCGACGGCAAAAAAAAGCGCCCTTTCATAAATCAGTCCACCCCCGCCATCACCACCACCAACCACTAGCAGTTAAAAGGCACTGACCACAGTTATGGTTCTGACATCGTCTCACGCAGCGCTATCAGCTTACCCCTGCCAGAAAGATAAATAGGCAGATGAATTGATGGCAGACCTCGATCAAAACAGCTTATGAACAATAGGGCTGACCGCAAGTGCTGTAGCAGCCCTTTTTCCCCTCTCTAATGGTTTTATTTAGTTTCCTCCTCATTTTTCTACAGCAAACACGCTTTGCTTATAGTCGTGGGACTCCTAAGTATTGAATGTCCACATAAAACACATCCCATGGTGTGTTTTCGCTGCGTGCCACCACAGAACTCCTGGATAATACATCACACGCTCGGCGGCCCACTCAGTGCGAGGGCGTGATCAATGAAGACAGAGCCGTCCGGAAAAGAGATGACAAAACACGTCTTCGGACGCCGGGTGATGGTGGCCAGACTAGAGCCCGGCCGCAGAGAGGGAGGTGCTGAAGCTGATGGATGACGAGGAAGGGGGCATTTTCTCAGAGCAGTCCAGATATCCCAGGTTTATAAAGGAGCTGGGGGCAGGAAGGAGCTCTTGGAGTATCTGAGTGGACGCTGATGTTATCTCAAAACAGAGAGAAGCTGAGCTGATTCAGAGTCAGTGGCTGCACTCTGAGCTGGTTTACACACCCATAATTACCTTAAGTGTGGTATCTCCCGGGCTTGGACTGATTAATGCTGCTGCTGGAGTTTCAAACCTAAAAGTTGCATACGAGCGCCTTTTCAAGTCGTAATGCACGAGGGCTGCACAATACGTAGTGTTAGTACTGATATTGTGATTATACAGAACTGTGCAAAAGTCAGAGACCAGCTTTCATTCGCTGGCCATTAACTTTTCATTTTTCATTTTTCCAAAGACGTAAAAAAAAGGTCAGAGATTCTATAATTGGAGTTAAAAAAGTATTAAAAGATCCAGAGAAAATGTGGCTCTTAACAACCACCTGGAAGACCTGGAAGACAACAAAACTGACCCATCAGTTAAACAGCACTTAAAGCTTTCATCTCTGAGAGAGAGGAGAAAATCAAGCTTCTTCAGATCTGAAAACATCCACAGGTGTTTCTGTCCATCCTTCCACTGTGAGAAGACGACTCAGCGCTGTGGGTCTGAAAGGATGTGTAGCTGTCAAGAAGAACCTCACTGAGAAAAGGAGACGGATACATCAAACAAAGAAGCTGAACGATGGACTGACCACCCCAGAGTCCAGACCTCAACACCACTGAATGTTTTTGGGATTATTTGGATTGTGAAAAGAGAAAATGCAACCAACTTCTAAGACTGAACTTTGGAGGTGTGGAGAAATATCCCTGCAGATTTCTTTGAAAAACTGATAGCACGGCTCTCGAAAAGAATGAAAGCTGTAAAAAAGGCAAAAATTGGACACCAAACACTAAAAAATGTGATATTATATTTGGTTGTTGAGGCTTCTGTGTAATTTTCTGTTGAATATGTTTTCTGCTATTTTCCTGACACTGAAAAATTAACTTGTATTTAAATGAAGGGCTGGTTCTGATTTTAGAACAGCGTGATACACCTTGCAGTATATTAAAAACACATTGGTGAATCAATAATTTGGCCAAAATACCTCGGATTCCATGACAATCTCAATTTATTACATGACTCATTTGCAACTGTGATTGGACAGGATCCTCACAGCACATAGTAAAAAACATTATTGACTATAGGGCTTATTTGCATACCGCAGCCTTCTGATTTGCATGTAAAGGCCAATATTACAATAATAGTTAAGGAAAAACGTATTATTCAGCATTAGCTATTATGAATAGGAGCTTTGGAAACACTTGTAGCTACAAACGTAACTTTTCGACGTGAGTGATTGGACCATATACACTAGTTGGACTGTGTACATATTTACGATCTGGAAAAATGATAGAAACGTACCAGAACAGATCAAGCTAGCTAACTAGCTAGTGAGTTTCCCCAAACATTTTCCAACCACAACTTTCTGGAAATTACGACAGGAAATTACACGTGGAAAATAGCGAAGCGAAGGCAGCAAAGTGCTTTTTCAGGCTACCAAACGTCCCCTTTACTCGTACAGTGCTGAAATCCTGATCTGCCCCCTTTACAAGCACGCGCTGATTGATCTATGAACCCTTCTATTAATCGTTATCATTTTAATAGTTTTTAAATCCAGTTGAACACAAAAGATGCGTGGCACTAAGGGGACCCTGGAGATATTAAAATCCATGGCACCCAGTAAATTACATGTAGGTCAAAAACAACCAAATGTGTGTAATTATGTAGGCTTTTCAATTTGGAGTAGATTGGGCCTCGGCTCAGGTTTTATTGGCATGTATTCCTGAGGGGGGATTGTGACCGTCCTCATTAACTGTCATTGAATGCGTGCAAGGCGGAGCACCGCCCCAGCAGCAGAGAGATGAGCGGCTATTATCACCGCTCAGCCCGGGCTGGCCGGGGAGCCGGTGTGGTAATTACAGCCGGGTTTATGAAAGAGGCAGAACGGAAAACGAGTGTGCATGTGGATGGTGAAGGGGGGGATCTGTAACACAGGTGGGCGTTTTATTGTGTCGTCTGTGTCAGCGTGGAGCCCGTCTGCAGGCCGGCGTTGCCTTGGGAACGGCGCCGAGCCGAGAGCTCCCGCTGAAAAGCAGGTTGAATCACAGGTGAGGGAGGAAAAGAGGGGGGGGGTGACAGAGAGAAAGCTCCAGGAACGATCGATCCAGAGAAGGAGAGGGGGGCTAGCTCGCAACAATACGACAACAGCCAAGCCCACAGGCATCATGTCTGTTATATACTGCATTCACATAGATAAACCTTGGAAAAACACAATAAGCTACACAAAGGAATGGCACACAAAACAAATAGCAGCTTCTGTAGGCTGTTCTGGGGGAGAGCGTCTGCCAGTCTAGTGTAAATGTAATGTAAATGTAATGTAAAATGAAAGGTTTGCGGTTTTTTCGTTTGTACTGTTCATAGGAAAAGTATCACTCCAGCAAAACAAGAACGTTAATCATAATCCTGCAAAGTTATTTTCCCCCTCATGACATTAAAAATTTAACATGATTTAACAGAAAATTGGAAAAGGCAGCCTATTATTATATGGTGCTGTAAGGAAACATAAGCCCACTGGTGTTTAATCTTCCTGCCGTTTCAACATTTAACACTGAGGCTTTTAATTCCAGCTGGAGATCGCAAACATAAATCAATCAAGATGAAGCTTTTAGCACTTCAATCCTTACAAAGCACTTACTTGAAAAGTGGTTTGGGCAAAGAGCAAAGTGAATAAGAGAGTGAGCTCACCTCTGCAGACGGTGCCGTTCTCCACAGCTTCGTGGCCGGCTTTGCACATGCAGCGGCCGATGGGCACCATCCACTCGCCGTCTCCGTTGCAGTAGAGTTTAATGGGCACGTCCACTTCCTCGGCGTTGGGGATACACGCCCCCCTCGCAGCGACCAAGGAAGTACTCTCGGCGCCTGAAAGAGTCTCCTGGAATATGGCTCCATTCCGGATGGCGCGTGGACACTTCCGGTAGAAGACGCGAACCGCGATTAGAGACATGCAGCCTCCGTAGTCCTGGAAGGCCAGATAGAAGCCGTTCCGGGACACGGGGCCGAAACTGCGAACTTCGGTGTTGATTTTCATCACCCGTCCACCCAAGTCCACCTGCGAAAAGCTCTCGTCGGCCGCGATGGTGTCCACCTTGATCCAGGGGTTCTCCATCCACGGAGGGGACGATTTGGTGGCCGTGTCCGCGTCCGATTCATAGTAGTATAGGTTGAAGGTCTCCTTGCAGGAGCCCGGTACTCGTGGGATGCTGCTGCAGTCCCGCACCGAAAACTTCATCTCCACATGGATGCGCTGGGCCCCGCGCCGCGGGATGTACTTGGTGCGCACCCAGTTGTTCTGGTTGGCGCTGAAGACGTTACACACCTGGTAGGTGCGGATGGTGTTCATGTTCTCGTCATAGCCGCTCACCTCTTCCCACTGCAAGAGAGAGTAAAAGGAATTGAGGTTTAACCTTAGAAATCTTCTATTATTCTTTAACTTTTTAAAAGTAATTACATAATTCACTACATAGATACATACAGAATTATGCTTAGATTTGATTTACATTCTGTACTGACTTTCTGTTTGAGTTATAACATCAAATCTCCATATAAACACAAATATGGTATTGATTGAAAGTTTACAGATCTGGACCTTTAATCCAGTTTCTGGTCCTGGATCTTCCACTGGTAGTTAACTGAACTCTTGATGCGACTAATCAGACAACTGTTGCAGCAAACCAACCAGTGTAATATGGATTCGAGGCCCAAATTTTAAGATTTTTGTTGTAGATTTTGCACGTTCACTTGTTTCAATGAGCTGCAAATGAGAAATAATTGATATATAATTCCTGGGGATGCGCATGGGTACTCGAGTGCACATTTGAGGTGCCGGTATCGAAACACTGAAATCACTATTTGGGTATTTTATACATTTCATTGTGGAAATACAGAGAAAATATACAAGAATTCAGTGAAACATGATGGTTTTCACTGTATTTGTGAGTCAATTCATTATGTTATACTGTGCTACTCCAAAACAAGAGTGCATGAATGTGGAGGTACTGCCAAGGACATAATGTCAAAGTTGTGGTTGAGAAGGTAGAGATAGTGTGGCTGTGTCGCTATCTGATGTTAGCTAGGCTAATAAAAAAATAAAAATATATTTCTCTGACAAATAACATGTTGGCACATTCTTCACTGAGGAGTAAATACCTTTGTAGAAGGTAACAAGTCCTCATCAGCGTCCAGTGTGACTCTTCCAGCTCTGTTTGCTCATTAATTCATCTGAAGAAGCAGCTTCAACTCAAAAACCTCGCAATGTCTCATGGCTGTTTTTGAATAATAAAACATGTTCTTCTGTGTTCTGCTGTAGTTTTTGTGCCACACCAGTGCTGCCACCTAAACGAGGAAGCCTACAGCCGTTTTTCTTTTGTTTGTTTTTGTTTTTTTTGGCCATTGTTTTTTATTCCAAGTGGTTAAGAGGATAACTGTGCATGAAGTCTTGTGGATACTTGAACATCAAAATTAGTCAGAATGCACATCTCTAATAATCACAACAACTAATCCATGCTTTTCTCTCTAAGACAGCAGTAGCCATGTCTCCTGCTATTCAGAAGAACACTGTGCTATGTCTTTCTATTGCTGCTGCTTTCTCTTCTGGACCCTTGCCGTCCATGACAGCCCGGGTAAGCCCATTCCCATTTGGGTTGAAGCTCACAAATTATTTCTAATACATAAAGTCAGGGCTCCAAACCGCAGGGCAACAGCGAACATCTTGCAACAGGCTCTCGCGTGTCCATCTCGGCTCTCGGGGGACGTTCGGAGAGTAGCCGAGCCATTTTGAGAAATTCTCCCTGCAGGCAGCGACTAGATTACAGGGCAGGAGAGGTACGAGGTGAGGGAGAGGGTAAAATCCTCTGGCTAGCTTGCCAAAAGACTCTGGCACTCCAAGTAAAAAGGCTTGGCACTGGCCCGCATTTGCTGGAGACCCCCACTTGGCCACACTGGGTGAACCTGGCCTGTGTTTATTTGCCTCTCCCTGTGTGAGAGGATGCATTATTAATGCGGCTCGCCCCGAACGGAAGAACAGGTGATAAACTCCAGCGTTTACACAGTCGTTCACTTTTCGCTGAGCTGGCTTCGGTCCGTGCTCTGGCACCAGAAAAGAGAACCAGCATTAGCATGCGATCCTTTTATTCAGCGTGGAATGGCATGCAGGAAGGAACTGGACTCGCTTTGGAAAAAAGCAAACAATAACCACGCTGTCCTGACATAGCTCCGACGGCAACTTGTTGATATATGTTATATACACATTTGAAATGTTTAGATCTGGTGTTTAGACAAAGGGACTACTGTCAAAATTAATCTTTCAGGGTTGGTGAAAGTGGCGCTGACTGAAGGGGACAACTGTGGAAGTCACTATTTTTTCAGCATTTGCGATTTGGAGATCGTTATCATAAGGAGTGAATCCATATGCTGCGTAATTATATGTATGACTGCTAATCACGGAATGTGTTTTTATAAATATGGGCCTTGATTTTCCTAAACATTGAGCTTTCTTTGAATCGTCATCCGTCTCCACTGTAAAGGAACAAAAATAGCCCTCAGAATTTGGCCTCAGTCAAGCCCTCGGTAATGGAGTCGGGAGTGTTAGCACTTGGCAAAGCTAACTACAAAATTTCATCCCCTTGAACATTACAAACCTAGGATAATCAAATTATATGGACGGCCATTTGGGGCGAGTGAAACAGACTTCTTATTAAGTTTACAACTGTATAGTGCACACAATAAGGGTGCATGCACCAAAGACTTCACTGCTTGGCCTAAAGTGACTCCAGATGCCTCCTCTGCGGTTTTCAAGCCAGTTGGCTGTGGATCAAGCTGAGCGCTCTCAGTATTAAACGGTCGAGATTCCAACCACCAAGTGAGTCAGAACCTTGACCTTGTCCAGCAGGGAAAGCCCTTTTCTTCACCTTATATGCTTCCTCACACCCCGGCTCCGAAACGTATTCAGCACCTCCTGCCCCCTCTACTGCTCGCCCACCCTCTGCTCCTCTCACTCTTCACTTCACAGCTGACATAATTTCCCAAATTAGTTGCCGCTTAACGAGGATTTTGACAGAGTTTTGACGGGATTCGGGGAGAAAGTCAAGCCTCATGTTCGAGACCCCCATTCCATCAAACACCCTCAGACTAATTAGAACAGCTTTCTTTCACCAGGCTTTTGTTCTTCACTCCCATGTCCCAGTTACTCTCCGCAGACAGAATAAAATTACTCTAAATACGTACGGGGTCACGAACAGCGGAACAATGCAATGTGTGACATTTAAGAGTTTGAGGGACAGCAGAATCTGGCAGCCATTTTTTGGAGTAGAAATGAAGATTTTCCTGGAGCTCAAAATGAGAAATCGCATCAAACAATTGCTCCAGTATTTAGTTTGACTTCCACTCAGTGGCTAAAGCATGGAGAACTTACAACCAGCTACAGCCGGGGTCATCCAAATGGACAAATGTGTTCAGGGTCATGGGCAGCCATTGACCTCGCCACCTCCCTTTAAGCCAGACCATTCTTCTACAGGCCATCTAGCGAGGAGGGGCTGAAGGCCAGTTAAACAGGAGAAGACAGAGTGTAACATCCCCTTGTTGGAGGCTGCAGCTTTGACTGATCAAATTAGAAGGAAATAAAAAAGCGAGGCAGTTGCTAAGTTGCTAATGAGAGCTGGAGAGTTAGCGAAGGCAACGCTCGGTGGGAAGGGGAGGAGGTGGAGTGGAGTGGGCTACGGAGACTCCAAACAAACGCATTCTGAAGGAGGGCCTCTCTTTGTCCTGCCACAGCTTTTCTGCCACTCTTTCATCACGGGCAGTGGAGAGAACCAAATGGGGCATAATAAGGGCCCAGCGATCAAGCGCCAAGTGTGAAATTAAATGAAACGTCTTCATTTTCACAGCTTTTCCCCCCCAACCTTCGGTGGGAGTGCGGCTGAAGGTGGTCATGTGTTTTGAGACGTGAAGGTGGTGGGGGTAATTCTGCAGGGATAAAGATTTAGCAATCCGTCTGACCGTTTAACGACTGGCCCCTTCTGCCTCAAGGTTTATTGTTGCTACCAGGGATTTGTCTGGTGTTAAGACTGCAGGGAAGTCCTGCTTTAAGACTTCAAAGTGTTTAAGGGGTCCAAAGATCATGATGAGGACAAGCATGTCTTGGAAAAAGAATAGCATAGAATGCTGGACCAGAAATGGATGGAGATATTAACGTCTCGCTGCTCATCACTCTTAGTTCATTACAGCGGGGGAGAGCGGAGTACAGCCTAACAACATGGGGTACATGTACTGATATTTTATGTTCAAGTAGAACAAACTTTTGGTCATCTTCTCGTATTTTTATAGCAACGTCATCTGCAAAAGTTCGCAGCAGTCAAAATGTACTACGCAGACTGTTTTTGTATAATAACTAACTTTTTATCAGTGTCTTTTAAAGTGTTTTACATTTAATTAATGTTCTGAAAGTCACAGAATTTACGTCCATATTACTTCAATTACTCTCTTGGTGGTTGTGACGTGGCACCAATATAACCTATGTCAATAACTTACAGCAAGAGCTGGCCAGGCTACAGTACAGCCTCCCAGTTGTAACTTAAAGATTTGTCAAAACTCCAAATAAATTCAAAACAGTGAATTTGTAAGTTTTTAAGCACATATTCATCAAAAACTATGGATGCCATGTAAATAAAATGTATCTCTATATTTTACCGTGCTGATATTTCACCTTCTGCTTTGTAGGTCACAAAAATTTGAAGCGTTTGCCTCTTTTTGCTAAAGATATTTATACATTTTTACATAATTAGGACGGAATGTTTGTCAAGGTCAATCTAAGGATGCGCCAAATTGACTTATTTTCATATTCAAGTATCTGTAAGAAGTCATGAACGGAAATCCAGGCAACCACAGGGAAGGAAAAACAATGCCAAAATAATAAGACAACTTTGGTTGAAAACAGTGTAGGGTTAGGGTCACCTTTTGAGGCGACAGCACTGGTGTTGCACAAAAATACAGCAACACAGAGGAACGTTTAATTATTCAAAAACAGCTGAGAAAAGGGTTTTGTTTTGTGAGAATCAGTTCATGCTGATTCGTTGTCCACTACAGAAGATATTTTCCCCTCAGTGGACGATGTGCCAACAGATTATTGGTCAGCTAGAGCAGCTTGGTGACAGGCTCACATTCAGGCGCTCGTGTATTTGCGTAGAAAAGTGTAACAACATCCGATACTCACTCGCACATATGAGCAAAACTGACTGTGTTCCAGGTAACTTCCTGCTATGAAACATAACAAATACCCCAATAGTAATTTTGAATACTGCCACCTCATAAGGTTAACCAAGGAATTAAGAACACATGCACACTTTGTTTAAACCACCTACTGAACCGAATTGTGTT